TTCCGACCCTTAATCTATGAATCTATGAATGAATCTATGAATAAGGTACATTGATGTTCTGAAGCTTTAGAGGCATTTGTTACCTCATTAGCACTGACATAAGAAAAGTAAAATCCACTTTTGTCAGAGAAAGTAAAGGAAGCTCATATGCAATTCTGCAGAGAGGACTTCACCCTGTGCAGATACTGTAGCACTGAAGTTCTGCCACTGGTCTCAAGCAGCAGAAGAAACCCTGGCTCTGACACCTAAGTTCTTCTGCCCCTGTTATCATTCTGCTTCCACTGAACTTTAGTGATATTGGTCCCAATGTCAAATTCCAACCCAATTCATTTTTTCTCCTGCAGATTCTACCATTAAATATATTTACAACTTTCTGTTGTAAATGGTTCCATTATGTTGCTCCATGCTTTTAAACAGTCCCGCCCCACAGAAGCCTGCATTTTCAAGTATACAAATTTTGTAAGGTACTTTGGAACAAACAGCATTTAGGATATTCATATATCTTTCAAAAAATGTTGTAAGAAATTCAGTTATCCATGAATGTACAAGTTCTGTCCACTGCCATTTCATATTTATGTTGTTGTTCACACACAGACACAAACACGTGTCCCTTACCGGTGACAAGTTGGCTTCCATGTCAGTCATATTCCAATCACTCACAGACAAATTTGGATTAAATACCTGTTGAAAAAAGATATGGGTGTTCCTGGCATAAGGTAAAGGATCCTACAGAGGCTTTAAAATGTATAGTCTGTTTTGAAGAACTATCTGAAGGCACAGTAATTTAGAAGGGCAAAACTTTCAAAGGAGGCCAGCACCCAGACATTTTCACTGTGACATTCAATTGAGTACCCAGAGTTCCTTAAAAAAATCGGGCCATTCTTAACTATCTGGAGCTACCTTCTGACTCACACCCAGTAAATCTGATGTTCAGTTATCCAGGGTGAGGAATTTAGTTATAGTATTAGCAGAAAAACTCATAATACAGAAAAAGAAGAACTGGATTCCATCATTAGAAAGTCAAGAGACATTCTCAGATCTGCAAGATTTGGCCCTGAAAAGGCCTAAACACAGAAGACAAGAAAATATAGCTGTTCTCTGTTGATCAATCACTATTACTTATCCAAGTGTAACTGCCAGAAGTGTAAATGAGAAACATTCTCTCTCTATAGGTATAATTTATTTGATTATTTGAATAAAACTGTATGTGTGTGTCTGTGTTTGTGTCAATACAATATGGATGAAGCTCCATTGCCCATTTGTAACTAAAATGTCCTGAGAATCCCAGATGGGGAATGACCCACGTAGTGACACAATATGACACCACTGGAACTTCTAAGAACTGGAGGAAAAGAGGAAGGCAAAGAGCCCCAAGCCAACTGGATTCAGAATATGATAAGAAACAGATTAGCCAGCCAGCTGGACAACAGTATTGCAACTATTTTTATCTAATTGTGAGATTTTTAAGCTATTTTAGGTCTTACAACCTGGCCTTCCCACATGCACTGTGTTTAGTTATTCTGGTGGATAATCTATATCCAAGACATACAGAAACATGAGTCTGAAACAATGTGAAGAGTGCACTTAAAAATGGTATCTGCATATCTGTAAATAGTTAATAGATTAGGAGCTAATACATAGCATTGTTCCATGGCTGGGCACTACAAATTCTCTTATACAACTTTTTATGTATGGCTCTTGGCACTCACATCCAAGATGCCAGCAGGCTCCAGATTATACTGCTGGCTTCTCAGGAATAGTTGGAGGCCTTCCAAGCTCAAATCAGTGCCCTCCAGTGGGTCAGAAGTCTCTGCTCTGTGGAAAGATGAGAGAAAAATCAGTTCAAATTATGCAATGTACACACTTTTATATAGAAAATTTGACTTGGTAGCTTTCCAAAGTCAGATGTCCAAACCTTATTTAGCAGGTTCGCATGCCACTTTTAGCCCTGGCTTATGCCATCTTGTTCTGGATAAAGCCCAGGGGTAGGACTCAACAGCCCTGTTAACTGTACCCATTAATAACCTGGCTTGGCATCTTTTTGTTTCATTTTAAAATGCGTTCTAGTGGGTGCATATCTACATGTGTTCCCCATGGCGCAGTTGTTACTGCACCATCATTTAGTACTTGCTTTAGGAAGTACTAAATGATGGCATATGGTTATTTTAGCAGTTATGTCACCATAGTAACATGCTACAGCAAGGTAGCTCATTACCATGGTGACATAGCATTGGTGTCACAGTTTGTGCCTGCTGATGCTATATTGCTGTAGCACATCGCTACAGTGACATAATGTCACATGTAGATGAGTCCAGTAAGTCACAGATACAGTGTAGAATGAAAAAATGTAGACAAAGACAGAACTATACTATACGAACATCAGCCTCGAAGACATCACTTGGGCACTGAGTCTAGATTAGGGATCAACAACTATGGCCCAACTTTCTGGCCAGCAAAAAGACTGTATACAGCCTGTAAAGTTAGGAGAGCAGCAATGGGGGATCAGCAGTGGCATGGGGATCAGCAGGTGGGGAGGTGAGAACTGGCAGCATGTGGCAGCCTGCCTTAGACTGGGCTCCATTAATTAAGTCTGTTGACCCCTGGGCTAGACCACTGGAATCACAGGCAACCATGTGACAAACATTTGTTCAGGAATGGAAAAAGATTGGCATCTTTTTGTTTTAAAAGGCATTTCAATAATTGTTTATTTAGCAGTTTAAAGCTTGGTTATAATTTTTAATCAACTTATTCAT